CAACACAGCCATATATAGCCAGATAGATCTTGACCCACTTCATCTTTGGGTGTCACTTTTGGCCAGTATTCCAGTCTAGCAGGTGTAATTGGGTACAGACAGGATAATGCACGATAACGTTAATGTATCAGACAAGACGTATTACTGAATTGGAAATGGACAAGTTACTAGTAATGCTCCCTTCACACATATAGAGCGGGATGAGCTTGTGGTGAAAGGCAACTACGCAAAATCGCAGACATTTCCACCCTTTTTCACATTCTCACTTCGCGTACACCACGCCCAATACGCCTCTGCCATACCCTTGCCATGCTCCTGCTTCCACTGCATTCAACCACGTTGCCGCCACGCTTTAGAAGACAACACTACATTGGCACGAAGTCCCAACCACGTCTTTGCTACGCTGTTACAATATCGCCTCGAATGGCGGATTTGTAGTAAATATGGCATGTACTGAGCCTCATCCACCAGTTTCAGCACTCCTAGCTAGAAAATAAAATCAATTTCACACATGAGCCATGACTTCACCAAGGACAAAAACTCTGCGAGATCATGTCCGAGAGTTGCATGGACGTAGCGAGATCCTTGTGGGATAAGCCACGACCTCATGCTACGCTGTCGCCACGCTTTGTTTTCTACCACATCTTCACTACGCGGACAAGGTGTATGTTCTATACCCACGTTCCACACGCTCTTACTAAAATGACAAAGATCTCGTGACGTCCATGCCGCCCTGGGTGATTTTTTTAAACAGCAATTAGATATAGTGTCCCCGTTCATTTTCCTTTCATTTGTTTTACAACTACAATGTAGATGTCTTATTACTGTTTAAAAGCATACCAGTGTCTTTACTGGATGATATATTATTATCTGTCTGCATTCTCCAAGGAATCGCAGTAGCTCGCTAATCTGCAGGTCCCGTGTTCGGTCGTTTTTTTTCGACCTGGTTCCCCCTTGTCAGTGGAGAAGGGGGCCTGGCAAGGGACATTGTTTAATCATTCGGATTGGACGAAAATCCGGGGTCCCGTGTACACACTGGCATGCATTTAAAAGAACCATTGGCACTTGGAATTCGAAATAAGAGTAGGCCGTAGGACCGTTTCCCGGGTACAATTCTCCTCATAATTGTGTGGCGTATGCCCGTCTTCATTAGCGCAGTCGGATCAGAACCGTATTCTCCAAGCCGTGTTCGTGTATCGTTGGTTATTGTATCTGTTTTGTTGTACGGTTTTCCGGAATTATCGCTTGTCAAATTACACATACTGCACTTTATATTGAGTACTTCAAGACCGCCAACACTTTATAAAGTCAGTAAACGTGAATGTCCTGTTATAGATCGATATTGGACTTATTTTATTGCCGACGTTACTTCAACAAAACCTAAACCCACGTAGTAATTAATCCGACCTACTTACGTAGCCAATAGAAAACGGGCTATTTTCTTAACGTAAAAAACATTTCAAAATCAATACAATTTTTCACTTATGCTTCTCGATAATGTTAAAAATATGTCATTGAGAAGGAAACACTATGATGCCATCGATGAAGGTTCACCTGTTTATCTCCCAGACAGCAGTTCCACGACACACTGTAAAACCCTTCTTTCCCTAAATTATTAGGTAAGGTTCATCTGTTAAAAATATCACCACAATATCTTAATGTAATAGCTTTTAATATTATATAATCAGGCATATCCGAGTACACGTATTAATAAAGCCCCGAAGAATGGACAGGCTTGTGTGTGAAAATGTCAGAACTATTATTGCGATAAATTTCAAGTTAGAATTGCTCGATTTGAATCATTTATCGGACCAGTATTATTTTTTTACTAAAATACTTTGTTTTGTGTATGCGATAAACTTAAAGTTAGAACTGCTCGATTTGAATAATTTATCAGACCAGTATTGTTCTTTTGCTAAAAAGACTTTGTTGTCTATTTTACTTTTACACTGAGTTGTATTATTTTCAAAATAACCCTCGCTAGCCTGGAGGCCGGGTGTTCGATCCCTGCATTGGCCGAGAAAGTTCATCCCGATTTTCCAGCGTGGTTTCCCCTTGTCAGTAATGCAGGACGGAGGGACGGATGGGACCAAAAACTGAGGTCCCGTGTACACGCTGGCATGCAATTAAAAGATCTTTGGCAGTTGGAATTCGATATAACAGTAGGCCGTAACGCCGCTACCTAGGCAAAATTTCCCTCATAGCAAACTGTATGGTGTATGCCCGTCTTCATTAGCTCATGTATTTTATGCGAGCAATTGTTAACGTTAAATGAAATGCGTAATTTAGCGATATATTTCGACTTAAAACATATTCAGACTAATTTATCCCTCAAAACGTTTTAAACCTAAGACAACTACCCTATCACGCTAAAATCATTCTCTACAAGCTCTGTTTGTCACAGTCATGATTTAAAGGACAATTATTGGTGTCAGTCATTATCACATATGTGATAGAACTAGTTATACACGTTCCAAATATAATTTTAACACAGCGATCATTGCTACGATAGATGTGTTGCGAAGCTTCCAAAAAAGGAAAGTGACGAACGCTAAAGGGAAATACGAGTTATCCTTCTATATAACTGACTGAAGTGACGAGTGATAACAGATAATTCCTTCGTAAACCAAAAGTTGTTATGTGAGGCTGTAAGAGGATATCTGATAATTCATTCTATACTTAATAAAAACATGGTAATGCACGGCCTTTTTCTATTTTTCTCGTTTTGTCTTATCTAGTGACAGTCAATTAATGTTTTGAATTATCAGATATCCTCCCACAATCTCATATAACAACTTTTGGTCTTCGAAGGAATTATTAGTAAGCAGAAATTCGCTTGTGAATCTCTTCTCTCGTCACTTCGGTTAGTTATATAGAACGATAACTTGTGTTTTCCTTTTGCGATCGTCACTTTCCTTTCTTGAAAGCTTCATTACGCATCTATCGTAGCAATGATCTCTGTGTTAAAATTATATTTGGAACGTGTTTAACCAGTTCTATCACATTTATGTGATAATGACTGACACCAATATTGTCCTTTAAGGAGAATCCAGTTTCAGTCTGTTAGTCTGGATTTTCTTCTGCCAACTTCTATTTCCACCGTTTAATCGCAGAGACTACTGGACTTTTAAATCTGTCAATGTTTTCACAACCTTTAACCATTACTTCTACACGTAAGCAGTGAATCCGGATTTTTTCTAGTAAGACTGAGGGTTTCTACTGAAACCAACTATAGAGAGTTAAAACGTTGGCAATTTTGTTTCAAATATTGAATATAATGTAATCTAAAACATACACGTGTAACAGTGGAGTCAAATCACGTCAAATTGAAAATTATTCTTTCTGTCAATCGGCCGTGACCTTCTCAACGCTCATTCCCCCTTTAAAGCCATAAGAGGCACTGTTTTCTAAATCGTAACGTCGCTCCTGCTTCCTTTGACCCCGAAGTTATCCTCTAGAGGTCACAATTTTTATCCAATTCTAAAAACCATTTCAATATATCACCCTTACACTATAATAAAAGTTGGGTTGAAATTACGGGAAAATGGGAACGAAAATGGCCGCTTCTTGTACGCAAATTGTGTAAAAGTATGTAATACGAAGGTTTTGGACCCTCTAAAGGTCATAATTTTTGTCCGATTTGGATGAAACTTAAAATATATCTTTATATCGAAAAGATCTCAGTCCCTTTCGATATTCAAGCATTTCAGACCCGAACTTCGTGGATTATGGCCCCTGAATGTTTTAGCTTGTTCTCTATCCACCTCTTGCAAAATGTGGGCGTATCTTGCCTGGCGGTTTTTACTTTTTAAATTCAAAGATGTGGGATTTGGGAGGTTTTGGCACTAATTGCTACATGGACAACTAATGTAGTCAAGCACGCTGTGCATTGTATCAATCTACAATTCATTGCTCTTTCTGCAATGGTAAACATTTAGGTGGAGTTTTTCTATTTCCACCATCTTACCCCGCTGCTAATACCATACATTTAGAAGCTCTAAATTACGAATGTTTAACTGGTTGGTTTGTGCAATCGCTAGGGTGAAAGCTTGCGATCTTTCGAAATCCTTTGTTATAATCCCTTAATAGAAACATCCGTTCAAAGCAAAGACTTTTCTACATCAGTTCAAAGCATTCATTGCATTTTATATCAAGCAATCTTCCAGCTGGGAACAAACCAGAATCAAACTTGATTATGCCTCTGGGGACGACGTACGAGATGTAAACCCTTTTACGGATTTCTCAAGAGGTAGAAACTTCATTTTATTCCAACATCCATATATAAGTACCGCGTATTGCAAGGAAAACCAGCTGCCACAACACTTCAACAATGTAGAATTGATCGTGTATTGGGATATCAGAGTCTTTAATATTCTATACACCACTCTTATGGTTGCGCCATCTGGTGTTGTGTTCTTGTTTGAAAAGCGACTTCTTGGCTCGTCCATATTTATATGTGAAAATGAAACCATCGACCAAGTAAACATAGAATATTTGAATCGCGGCTAGCCTACTAAATAAATGGTGACGTTTCTATTGTATACTCAACTCTATTGGCTATTAATTCGGTAAGTTTCTATTTATATTTTTTAATGGTGTTTTAAGATGAAGTCAAAGGCCACTATTCGGGATTACTATAAAAGCGTCGAAAATGTCAGTGATGAGGTATCTGTAGAAATGTATTCATTATTTCATATTAAGTATTATTTTCATATTATATGCATGGACAATTTAAATAATATATTGATTAAATAATGTTATATTTAGACAAATTCTGAACCCCATGTTGCTAGTCTTGACGAGATACTGTAGTATGCGCATTTGGGTGAATAATTATCATTTATTTAAATTAGAGATACATGTTTAATTTCTATTGCTCATTTTGGCTTAACCTAATCGTATAGTGTAAAATAAGATATAATATATAGTAATTAGCCTGGTGTCTTGTTGCTATGATATTTCTAATATATTATGCCACAGGTCAAGTTGAGGATATTGATTTTCAAACATACCACAGCACTCAGTCCAGACATATATATGGACACCAAAACTGTCTTAGAATCGACTTTTATGAACCCATTCAAGGCAAGCATTATTAAAATAAGCCCATTTATTGAAATCTTGAATATATGCAACTTTCTAAATTATGCATACTGCAAGACTCTCAGTGCGCGGGTTTGGTTACATCTAACTAACGAGCGTAGAATTTAAGCGACTTTCTAAATTGTGAATACAAAATTTGCGCTGTGCATTGGATTAAATTGTGTGAATTTAATGTTAAAATAATTGATCAATCTTAAGCCAGTGTTGTATTGTAGGGGAAGTTATATGCTCTCTCTTCACATAGGACCGCCATCATGTGTAAATGTTCTTCGAGCCAGTTCTCACTTGAATTAAGGTAATTTCTGTCGATTGAATTAAATTTACTTATTCTCAAGTGCTAACTAATATTCCCTCGATCGAAAACTGGTGTTAAATAGTCTTTTACTTTATCAAAGATAGATAAAGTATCAAAATCCGAGCTTCTGGCGGTTATTGTATTTTGTTGAATGCTGATATACTTTTGGTGCCAGTAAAGGGGACCACAGCGGATCACCCAAGGACGATATGTTTACCTTTTCTTTTGGGGGAATACATGGAAATCAGAATGGTCAATGTAGCTAGGAGATATAGATTTGTTGACGACGGAGACATTAGCTACTAAGGTGGAAATATTAATGGGAATGTTTAGTTGAATGGGCACAGTAAGAGGAAGATGATATTCGTGATAACTTAACCATGCTGATATTATCAGGAAATCCTACCCCGAAGGTGTTAGTTCGGGATGTTGGTAATGTTTATTAATCCAAATTAGAAGAATAAGCGTCATTATTTAAAACCCAAGGAAAGCAATGTTAAACTTAAAACGTCTATATCTCAGCAATTGATTGGAATATCCTTGATTAAAATCTATCGTCAAATCAATCCAAATCAAATAATATCGAATGCTTAGGACCCCATTAATATACATGTTTCTTTTTTTCTAGATATATGTTATAGAAGAGTTCATATACATATAGCCGCCAAACATTGTTGTATTTTTCCCTTTGGAATGTTATCTTAATTGACGTAACAACCTAACGTCATCATAGCTTTTATATCCTCTTATTGTGAATGGCAAATAAGCCATATAGGGATATTACAATTCCCTTCAGACAAAAAGGCGATTGAAATTCACAATTATATGAACATATAATTGATTTAAGCTGCCAAATTGATTTCTATTGAATTACTTCTTTGTTGCCTAGCGGATTGCGGTTGCCAAAGAACAAGAGTTTTCTCACCCTTGGGTGATTACCAGTTATCGGCGATTCAGTCTTTTGTTAATTAATTTAATTTATGGGAAACATTAATTCTAAGTCCTTAAGCCCAAATATATTTCTAACCTTTAAGACCACTTAACTAGACTCATATGAAGAAGATAGTCAGTCAAGGCAAACCTGGTCTTGATTTATGTCATGTTTGTCAAATTTAATATCACATTTGACAGTCTTTCTCGATTTTGAATATTACAGGACGACGAAATGTCGCAGAATGAAACTACCAACCAGTATATACCATTAGTGCAAGAGAAGGGTCGTCTTCGTACAAAACAATACCACACAATGGACGTACAACCACTTACACCAGCAGCGGTTACAGCAGAGACCATTTTGAAAAATCTAGGATCTCGGTTGGAGCAACGTAAAAAGTTAATCCTTCGTCGCAGATGGCTCGTTGACGTTGAATTCGTTATGGCTGTTATAGGAATTTCGTTAATGATGATTGAGAATGAGCTGTTCTATCTGGATCCAAGTGAGAAAATGTCAACCATATCACTGGTACTAAAAACATTTACTTCAATTACAACCGGCGTTCTACTAATCGCTATATGTTTGTACTACCAGACTGGGATGGAAATACGCATGCTCGACGGCGGTGTGGACGACCCATTTGCTGTGACACCATTTTGGACATATGTGGCCTGGATCGTAGAAGTGATAGTTTGTGCGGTACATCCCTTCCCTAGTAATATAGAAGTTGTATTCGTTTCACCCAGGGGTCACAGTCGAGTAGCAAGCATTGATGGCATCTTATCTGTGTTGATGATGTTTCGTCTTTATTTAGTGGGTAAATTTATCGTGGTGCATAGTCGTCTGCTCACAGATCCTTCGACTCAGAGTATTGGAGCACTATCTAGAATTAAAATCAATCTGTTTTTCGTGTTCAAGTCAGCCATGTCGGAGAGTCCAGGGATTCTGATTGTGTCAGTAATGTTGACTATGTACACAGTGAGCTGTTGGTCGATGAGGACCTGTGAAATGTATTATACGAGAACAGAGGAAAGTCAAGGATTTTCTCAATCAATGTGGCTATCTGCCATTACTTTCCTTACCGTTGGGTATGGGGACGTGACACCACAGACCCATTGTGGACGTTACATAGCTATCATGACAGGGCTGTGTGGCTTGGCTTCAACAGCTTTGTTAGTAGCCGTCATTGCGAAGCGGCTTGAACAAACTCGATCTGAACGCTACGTTTTTAACTTCTTGTCAAGAATCCATTTGGAGAATAAGCACAAAAATGCCGCGGCCGATGTTGTGAAGTGTTCTCTGAGATTATGGGTGATGAACAAACAGGGTGGTAAACCCACCTTAACCTATACTTACTTTAGGTGGAAGCTTCGTAACGCTGTAAGGGAAATGAGATCTGCTCGCGCCACTTTAGCCGAGAATGAGGAATCGACCGTTGGTGTGATAGAGTTATCTCACATGATTTCCAGAATGACAGTAAGTATTGAAAAATCCCTCGAGGCTCAGAACAGAATGTCAGAACAAATGACTAAAATCGAAAAAGAACTTCAAGATATGAGAAGTCATTTAAAATAGTTTCTATGTGAATTAACCGAGCGAATTGGGTTGTTTTCTGTGATATTGGTATGAATCTATTAGTGTCTATTATAATATGTATAAAAATCATAGTTCATCTTTTATTTCAATGTGCGATTGAATGTAGCTTTTGATATCAAACTCGTAGCTGCCACTCCAGATAGTTATAAGTGAAGATGTTTGAAGCGAACTCCTTTTCTGGAACACCCAATACCCCTCCCTCGCCCACCACATTTGCATTTACACCACTGATGACTCTCGGGGTTATTTTCATCCCAGTAGCTTTCGACCTCTGGGGGAGCCACGGTGGCTAGCATGGAGGTGACGTGTTCGATCCCTGCATTGCTCGGGAAAGTTCATCGGGATTTTCCGGCGTGGTTTCCTACTTGTCTGTGGTACAGGACGGTGAGCCTGACAAGGACAGCTGCCTAGTCGTTCGGATGGGACAAAAAAACGAGGACCCGTGTATACATTGGCATGCACGTTAAAGATCCCCTGGCAGGTGGAATTCGATATAAGAGTAGGCCATAGTGCCGCTGACGGGCAAAAATTTTCCTCATAGTACACTGCATGGCGTATGGTCGTCTTCATTGGCCCAGTCGGAGTGCATTGAATCTGGCTTTTGAAATCCAACTCGAAGCTGCCACTCCAGATAACTATAAGAGAAGATGCGTCACGCGAACTCCGTCTTCACTAGCCCAGTAGGATGTTTAACCACATTTCATTATTTACTCTTTCTGGAACTCCTAGTTTACAAATTTACATTACATTTTCAATATTTTACCTATATCCCCGTAGATTATGCCAATTTTAAAATCAATTTGCTGAACCCGACAACAGTAAATTATGCCGTCATGGGTTGATTTTGTATTACTGCCAAACGCCACTATCTTCATTAAACAAACACTCTCGGGAAGTTGCTGACTGGGTCAGCCCAGTCCATCAGGACTGTTTCTTTCACAGTTTATAATTTGGAGAAAACGTGTTGAGTTAATTTATGAATTAGCAAAATTAAAATGTTTTACGATAAACCGGAGGTGTCTCTAGTATCAGTACCCGGTAGCTCAGGTGTCTGAAAGACTAGCCAAATATCTCCCAATTCTAACCCGATACTATAAATACTACCACAGACATTATTATTATCCAAAACTAACACAATCTGGTTAGAACACGATTCTGTTTCGTTTCGTTTTTATAGTTCGAAATTTCATTTTACTTGTCTTTACTTCACTAGGATCAGGAGGAGTTGTTACATAAACCGCTTTCTGTTTAATGTGAGATATTAGCCAATGGAACGGTCTGTTACGACCAGTTTAATGTGAGATATTAGCCAATAGAACGGTCTGTTACGACCAGTTCTTGGCGTGCGGTGCACGGAACTGTGGGTATAGAAACATTAACTCTGATTGGTTTATCAAATGTCTGACGTCATAGGTCAAAAGTCCTTCATATGACCCCTGACGCGACCTTCCACTACAACCAGTCAGATCGTCATAACGAAACGAAATAAAGAATGAAACTAACAGAATTCTTCAATTACTTCAATATCAATGAGTTATTCCTGTTTGAAATATCCATTTATAGTATCAGTGATTAATCGAACGGCTAAACATTAATTAAATAATTTATTTTCCATAAACATATTTTTATCCAAATAATTGTACCTTTATCTCATTTATTTTGTAATATTGACCTATTATTTTACGAAAATGGATTGATTTTTGGTAGCACAGGGTTAATCAATCTGAACGACAGACTCACCCTACCTGCAGAGAAGTGAAAAAAAACAACCCAGCTACCATTTAATTTTCGTACGTTTGTTACGTACGAGGGTTAATATTAATTTTGTAAGTATTGGATGATCAAGGGAGATAATTGAAATAGCGTGACATTGACAATTAAGTTTGTACAGTTGAAGTATTATGTTAGTTTTTCAAAACAGTATTCCATTAGTATTGTTTGGTATTGGGTAGTATTGGGTAAATGGCCGTGCACGTTTCAAGGGATCTGATAAGGTGGTAAACCGGCATGGCATAGGTTATTTCTCTTGTGAGATCAACCGTGTTATGAAATCCTACTATGAGAAATTATTCCCAAGGTCACTCACGATTGTGCTGTCAATGATGGCATAGTACCTGACAAATTAAACATTGGACAATCGCAGTCTTCAATAAGATGATGGTAAATTAGCATGACAGTAGGCGCGGATTTAAAGGGGGTGGGGGTCTACACCAACTACCCCCCCCCCCGCATCGACATGAGACCAAGTTAGCGCCCCGGTGCGTGAAGCAAAGTCACCCCAGACCCAATCCCGAATTACAAAAAAATTACTCCCTCATCACTTTCATATTCACGGTTATAGTAATCGCCCAGTTAGTGGTAGCACAAGTGAGTGGGTCGTGGGGCGACAGACTGTCCAAATGTTCTGTTAACTTTCACAAAGCAGGCGGAATAAATATGTAGGCCTCGAGATTATGTCCCATTTCTTATCCTCTCGTTCACGAGAATTAACTTACATAAATGAACTCAAATGCCAGGGTATTTAGGCACATTCCCGCAAAACTAAAAAGCTTCATTACATATTATACGTTGTTATCTGAAATATTTCGCGTCAACGGCGCTCGATTCCATTACGGCACCATTCTTCCTCCACTCTACTGTGTTCTTATACTATCTCATCACTATCATATTCACGGTTATAGTGAACCACCCAGTCGGTAGTACCACTTATAGTGCGTGGGGCGACATATTACAGATTTTCTGTTAACAGGCGAAACCGACAGGCAGATCTCAAGATTCTGTCCCATTGACTTCCATTTCTGATCCTCTCGTTCACAAGAATTTGCTCCCAGCAACGACCTCAAAAGCCAGTGTATTGCCCCCCGCCCCATAACTATATGCTCAGTCTTATAGTTACTTCTCGAACGTTGACAAATATCAATAACAATCAAAAAATGACATGAACTTCATGTCAACTTGAATAAAACTGTTTTTCGGTGAGATAACGATCGGCGAACAACTGTATGGGCAATACGATCTATGTTCTACCGAGGCGCTCAGACAGTGTTATAGCCAGTATTTTGTTGACATTTATTGTGGGGAGGAATTGTGGATGGCGCCCTAGATTTGGAACCGCCCCTCCCAACTATTCACAGCTTCTAGATCCGTTACTGCATGACATATCGTAGCGTCGCGAATTATTATAAGTATAATACCCTTGTCTCGAGAGCATGTTCACTTTCTTGAGTTTCGAGGACAATATGACCAAAAAGCTTGACATGTCAAAACGTGACAGTCACTATTGTAGAGCTTAAAGTTACATTTCTCACAGACTGTTCATTTGAATTAATTACCGATAATAACGCCAGTGACACGAACGCCGCCTTCCCTGGCAACTATGGCGTACACACGATTTCAGAAAGAAGGGAGGAATGGGGCCCAAAATTGTTACATTCCTTACTTAAAGGAGCTAAATCGCTAATATTGGGGACCTATAAATTGGCATAAATGGGTCGCAACGCATATAATAATGTAATATGAATGTGTATAAACTAATTTACATTCAATCGTTTCCGTTTTTACTCTAATTTCAAATCAGTTTTGTTCGGAGAAATACGTCAGAAGTCTCAATCGAAAGGAAATCTCGAACGACTGGTTATTCCAGTCTACACCGATAGTATTTATTGCTTTCCAGATAAGAATATGTGGTCACCGTTTGACATGACTTTTGCAAATGGCGCTGAAACGCAGTATGGCACACGATTCGTGTAAAATGTTTATTTTGTCTTAAATATTGGATATCAAAAGCCCATCTTTTCCGCTAAGATCACAACATCAATGTTGATTTAAATTGACAAATAATTCGCGTTTTCGATGTCGAAGCCTTTAGGTTATACTGAGTTAGAGACTTGGATCATTTAATTCGAAAAGGGGCTATGATAGAGTTGTGTCGGTTTTAAGGTGTGGCTGGTAAAAAGGACCCAAAGCCCCCATCCAACGACGCTGTCAATCAACATTCAACAGTTCCTATATTTATTTGAGTACATGAGTACACATCAGCTGCTTTCATAACCTACATTATTTATCATAAAAGAAATCTAGATAATTTTATGTAAATTATCTTATGCACGAACACCCGTGTGTTAATGTCTTATCTAGAAATCGTGATTAAAACCTGTAGGCCTATGTGAAGGAACTGTCGTGGCATACATGTACTAACTTAAATATGATTGGCAAAGCGTAACCATGGAACTAGTGATACTATTTTGACTGCCTATTTTACGACTAACAACAAAACACTAAAATTTAAGAAAAGGTAATTTTATATAAAACATTTCAGACTAAAGGATATTTATAGAGTTTAAGACCATAGACAACCAACATTACTTTTATTTAAAAGCATATTGGTCCAAAATTAATTAAAACCTTCAATTTTAACTTACGCTAAATTGTACTATCCCTTTCTGTGCATGCGAGTTAATTCTAGATGTCCCTAAATACATAATAATATAGTTCTTTACATTAGAGTATAAATTTGACTGCTGTAATATCTGTGAACTATCAGAAGCCAGGAACAAAACATTATCAATGTGCCGTTTGTTGTTAAAGTAGATATGAAATGAAATGAAAGGGTGTTAAATTCCTACTGTTCTACAAGGAAATAATTAATACTCATATTCAAGCCACCTGTCTTAGTGCATGTATATACAGAAGAAATTCTTACAATCATATTTAACTATAATAATAGCATTTCTTTATGAAAGAAAAGTTGGATAAAATCGTGTTACAGGCTAAACCTTTTCTTCTGTAATAGTTAAATCAACCGCTTCTCAAAACTCTTAAAACATAAAACATGGCTGGCACGTTTATCAAATATTCTGGTTCTTTCGTTTTTTCAACAAGTTCCCATTCCTTGGCTTCAGCTAATTCCAATATTCTAGGTTCCAATCTACCATTATATTCCTTGCACGTTTCTAAACTTGTGCACGATATACTCATAACAATGTAACCACCTGAAGAATATAACGATACAAAATGCAAGTATTAGGTTATTAATGAGCTAGCTCTCGACTCTTACTCCTGCTGAACAC